GTATCTAATACCGCAGTTCAAAATATATGAACTTCATATATTTCATTGTATCTGATTTATCACTTTCACGGGTTTATTACGAATCAACTTAACGGCCTGCTCCCAGTTGGCTTGTTAGCTCAATTGGTAGAGCGCTGCACTAGTATCGCAGAGGTCAGTGGTTCGAATCCCGTACAGGCCTGATTTTTTTCAGGTCTGATTTTCGCTATTGCTTAAATAGCGCTATCTACTGCGAGGATCGTTCACCATATGCATCTAATACCGCAGTTCAAAATATATGAGCTTCATATATTTGCTTGTATCTAATAAGGGCCCTGCAACAAAAACAAAAAAACCTAAATACAGTCGTCACCAACTTTAAAAGTACTTAAAAAGCTTGTGATCTATATATAGAATTCTAAAATACGAGTTTTAAAAATCATGACTGAGTTAAGATCCTTCAGTTCATTAGGAATATCATTAAAAGGTTTCGATCCATTAAAATAAAAAGACCGCCTTGCAATCTCAGTTCTCACTTTGGGAAGCATTAAGTTCTTCCCACTTCCCCTCGTGTTGTGGATAGTTCTAAAAACCTGCGATCATCTTTTCTTGTGTCAGTTTTTCCTTCATCCTACCGATAGCAACGATTTTGAAGCGAAGTACAACCTGGAGCGTTCCAAATGCCACAGAAATCCAAACAACTATATGGAGGAAGAAACAAGTTGGTGCATACATTTCATTTAATGTATGCATTTTTTAATACTCCGTCATGGAAAGTGGCAAATTAAATCGAAGTTAACTTGCGCAGCTAGTGGTCTTTTGGCCGCCCGGAAGAAATCAAGGCGACAGAGCCGTTCCGTGAAGCTCTAACAAAACACACAGTAACGCAGGCTAAATAGAATGAATCTAGTAAAACTGATGAACGAGGCTTTGCTATTAATGCTATCTCGAGGTCAAGACGTTAGCTATTCGTCGCTATTCTTTGAGGGAAAAAACACGGAAGGAATATGTCAGCGACAGAGCGACTGATCCCTTCTGATTTTCACGCGTCAAGCTTTTCGCTTGAATCAACTGACCGTGATACAGCTTGGCGCAGGCTTAATTAACGAACACTGGTAATTTTTTGTGTCGCTGGCCAAAATGATTTTGGCCCTGGGTATTCCAACTAACATATATACACAATGTATACTCGATAGTCCTAGACATGTGCACGACAACCTGTGTGTTTTGCCATGTAATAAAACTAAGCTCCAAGACTTTTTTTATCTTTGCAACCGGTCATATGAAAAAGATGAGAGGTCTGGGTCGAAATGATCTGGCACCCAGAGTTCTCACGGTCGCAGAATAATGCAGACAGTCAAAGGCGGAGTCTGAGTACAGTGGTAAACCATTGGTAGTAACTTTGATATCAGTAATTTCAATAGATGGGTTGATGTCTTTTCTAAAAGGGCCATAAATGGCACATTCTGATAGCACAGTTTTTGCTTCGGAATCAAATGAATAAAGGTGAGGCTGATTTCTCGTCATTCAACATAACCGTAACTCAATACAATTTTTCAGATATTATAAAGTGTAATGTTTCGTTCGCTGGTGCATGATGGCCAGAAATAACCGCAGGGTCTACATTTATCCAGCCATGTCCCTCGCTGCTCTTTATAACTGGAGGTAGGCTGTTAAAAAAAAAAAAAGACTAGTCCAGCATAGGTCTTACTACGTCTACCCCGCTTTTTGATGACATAAACTATTTATTATTAAGATAACTTTTGAACAGGTTTGAGAGAGATTTTCTCATAGAGCTTGTAGGTTGTGACTTTTTTTAAAGAGATCGAAGTAATGAAAGTAATTCATCTCACGATTTCTCCAAAAGCGAAACGAAGCGAAGCAAAGAGACATCGTAGAAGCAAAAGCTACCCTCGACAGCTTGCGTCCAAGACTTAGTAGTCATGAATGTCCGATACGAATAAGCGCCTAGCTAAGAAAAAATTATTACCTGATACGAATATTTAAAGCGCGCCTAGCGCGATCAACACATTTTCTTTTCTTTATATTTACTTCAATCCCTTAAGTATATGATTATTATTATTATTATTATTATTATTATTATTATTATTATTATGCAGTTTCTCGCCTCAGCTGGACCAGCGACCTCGTTTGGCAATAAATTTTCGCCTTCCTGTGTTTACATCCGAGTCATCAATATTGTTTCCATTGGGGTTGTTGATGCCGTTGTTGTCACTGTTGTTGTCGCTATTGTTCTTTCCTTTTTTTTTTCTTTTCCCATTCCTCCTTTCTTCCTGTGTAGGTCTCATTCATCGCCGTTGTAACGCTAGTGGTCATTGGGAAAGGATGAATATTAGTGAGTGCCGCAGGTTGGAGCCAAGCCAAGTCCTCAATAACATGAAAGCGTCTTCCTGTGATCTTTAGAACATTACAGTAAACCGTCGATAAAACTAATACGGAAGAGATTAAACTGTAACCGGAGGTATTTTATTTCGGGCTTCCCAGGGTACATCCCAGTCATTAGAGAGATTTAGCACCGGGTTTTTGTGAAACGTCAAGAGTGAACACGTGACCTTGAGTTTCCCGCGATTTTTTCACGTTTATTGGTTGCGCTTTGCCGTTTCTACGTAAAAGTAACCTG